GCACAAACAAATAAAGCTGATTACAGCACACTTTGCTACACTTTTCAGAGTTGGACAAAGCAAATGAAAGTGCTTGCAGTTAAATTGATATTTTGAAGAAGTGTCACTTTAATAATGCCCTTTTTATTTAAAGTGGAAGCAAAGAAACCCAATAGAAACTTAATCATAAAAGGTGTCTAGTTTTCAACCAAAACTAGATGCTACGCACGAGCAGGATTAGCTGATCTGCATGCAGGTGAATGAATCTGAACGTGCCTCTCTTGGCAGCAGCTTTCATTACATTAAGTCCAGTGAAACAATTAAAACAATGTTCTCACAAAAAATGCACATTATCCATCCATTCACACTATGTTTGCTTCAACTCTTACATTTATTCTTTTCTTTAGAGGGATATATCAGAGAAACATGTTTCACTAATGAATGATCCCCTGTCAGACTTTGCAGCCGGCTTGTTTTACTGACTCTGTTTGCTTTTCAGAACTAATTACAGCCTTCTTAATATTGTAATTTATGTGTATTTTCACCTCAATAATCTTCATGTAGGTCATAAATAAGGATTCATGATTTAGTTTTCACAAACATATCTGACTTTTGTGAATTTTGCAATGTGAAGATATCACCTACTTAACTGTGGGAAACCAAACAGCCAACTATTAAATACTGATTTTCTTCTCATACACATTGGAAGAATTAGGTCCAGTGTCAGAAAGCTGCTTTGACACCTTCTACTTGATGCTTATGCTTCTTGTGGATGCCTGTGGTTTTGTTGCACTATTTATAAATAGATGTGGATTTGTTAGTGCGTGAGCATTAGCAGAAGCTCAGTCCAACTCGTGGCACCCTGAAGAGCACTCAGTAGTGTGATTATGCTCACTTCTCTCCTCTCAGCCCATCACATTTCTACCAGTCATAAAAGCAAATCCTTCTGGGCAACGTTGCTAACACCAAAACAGACAAAGATTACAATTTCCTCAAACCAGAGGTACATTGAACAAACACCTCATTCGACTGATTTAGGTCTAACATTTTTCAGAACGGTGTTTCTCTTGGTTTGTTTTCTACTTGGTAGACGTAAGAAGAATTTCCCCCAAGGTTGAGGGACACTCAAGAGCCCGTAGTTTATTAGTTGAACCATGTCTGCTGGTAGAGATGATTTATTAGAACTGCTGAGAAGAATTAGTGCAATGGCTCCATTAGATTTGTTACAGAGAGCTGGAACAATGTGACGAATGGCAAGGCACAAAGCGGAGGGCAGAGGTTTAAAAACATTAGGGGCTCTGATGCATAACTTCTCTTGGTATGTGCCTCAACTGCATAAAACTGACCACCTCTGTTGCTCACACACACACACACACACACTCACACCACTTGCACACACCAACTCTTGGGTTCCAGTTGCTGCTGTCATGAAACTAAGAAGATGCAAATTACTGGCAGCTGCAACAGCTTCAGATTGACAGGATGACTGCTTCAAAGTTTCAGTGGTTTGAATGAAACACATTTAGATGGAGGACATTTTAAAGTCACTTGGAATTAAATAAAAGACTCAAATCAAATCTGGAATCAAGATGAAGTAAGTCCTGTTAAAGAACAGGTGGGTTCGCTGGGATAAGTTCTCTGATGTTCAACATTTTGCTCTGAATTTATCCTTAAATCTCTTTACGGACTTTAATATACAATACATGAATTTATGTAACAAGTCGATACGATACAATACGATACAATACAATAAAATACAATACAATTGTCATGATCTGTGTCTGTGCTTATGATTTATTGTAGTTTTCTGTCTTGTCCTCTGTTTTCTTCCTTTTGTCTCTTTGCTCCAGCCCCACCCACTCACACCTGATCCTCATGTTTCTCCCCCAGGTGTTTCCTGTTTGTGCTCATTAGTCTCACCTTTATATTCTGTGTCTTGTCCTCACTTCCCTGCCAGATCATTGTTCTGTATCGTGCTGTGTGTTCCAGCATGAAGGTTTTTCATGTCCAGTGGTTTGTTTTGCCACGTCATAGCCTTGTGAGTTTTTTAAGCTGCCCGGTCAGCACTTTTTGTTTAAATAAATACTTTGTTTTTGGAACTTTGACTCTGCCTGCACCCTGGGTTCTTTCCTACCTGCAAATTCATGACAACAATACAATACAAGATAATATGATGAAATGCAATGTACTTTTATTGTTACCTTGGGGAAATTTAATTTGTACTTGATTCTGACCCAATACAGTAGCTGCATTCAAATAAAAATTTACAAATAAACAATACCATCAGTTATTGTGTGGTTGAGCAATTATTATAATTATCCTTTATTTAATCATGCAAATCCCACTGAGATCACAGGTCTATTCTGCATGAAAGTCCTGGTCCGGAATGCAAGCTGACATGCATGTTTTTGGTTTATGGGAGGAAACCCAAGTACCTGGAACAAACCCACATAAACATGAGAACACATAGAAAGACCCCATCTCTGAACCCAAGACCTTCTTACTGTGAGGCATCAGTGCTAATTAGGGAAGCACCAATAAATCGTCCAGCCAATCGATTGGCCCCGATTTCCTTAATTTTGGGTGATCGTCAATCAGGTCGATCATATCCACCTCTTACAACGTTCTGAAAATCAGCCACTGGCCCATTTTGTTCTGCTGTGACAGAGGTCTGACTGACAGACCCGCCCACTAGGTCACATCTGGACATGAGTTGTTAACAATAGTCACAGGTCACCTGGAGCAGCCATGTTGTTGATTTGGCAGTATTATGCAATTAAAGAAAAAGAGCATTTATATTTCAGAGCACTACCTCATGCCCAGTTCAAACAAGTTTGTGTTGTTTCAAGGGTACCGTTCAGTGTTTTTCAATAAAAATAAGATTGGAACATTGAAAGTGTATTGTGACCTTATAATAATTGGAATGAGCAGGTCAAACTTTTTAACACTCTGTGATCAGTCAGAAGACTGCACCCCTATTGCTAACCACTAAGCCATTGTGCTGCCCAAAAAATACGTTACAATTTAGTCTGAAAGGCTCTTGAAGACAGACTAACACTTGTAGACACAGATCACAAGTTATTTGAAGGAACATAACACCAGATTTTTTTTATGACAGCCAACACTATCAGGGATGAGGACAAACTGCTACTTTCCTCTGGTACAGCTGTATTGACTTAGCTATTTTTCAAGGCAAAATTGTTGTTTTCATTGCGCAAAAAGTGGATAAAAGTTGCCTTTTATATTCCTGAATTAAACAGATGGATTTGAGCATTTTTTTTCTCTCTTGGACACATCACTGTGTGTTAACAGTGAAGAGAGGCCTTTGGCAATCGAAACTTTAACAGTTTCAAAACATCCCATTTGAAAACCTCCAGGTAACATATTCTTCTATCCATCACATTTAGTCATTCATTATTCATCACTGTTGTACTGTTGTTGAAATAAAGTCACCTCTTTCACCTAATGTATTTGCTGTCCTCGGTGAATGGATAGACATTTCTGAGCAGCAGGTCACATGAAACAGGCTAACAGCAGATAAAGCGGCTGCAGTCATGGAGCTCACTGTGACTGCCTCGGAGCGCTGACGGGGAACAACACCCACTTCCCCTCAGGGTATGTAGAGAAAGAGAAATGGATAGAGCAAGACAAGAAGGAAGGAGAGGAGTAGAAAGAGCAAGTGCATTGGAAACAAGCGTATGGATGGAAAGATGATCAGGAAAGCGAATGTATGGCATTTGAAGGTTTAAGTAGGCGCCTGGAGCATCGACTCTGTTCTGAGATGGAAGCATTCATGAGCGTGCTGATGTGTAATCAGCTTGATGAGCCATGTTGTGTAACAGAGTGAGACAGTCATCTCACAGGCAAAGCAGAACTTAGTAAACTCGCTACAAGAGGAAAAAAAACTGTACTTTTAGTCCAACTTCTTTTGGCTTTTCTTTCTTTCTTTTTTTGCCAAAACAGCTGGCACAGCCACAAAACGAGGCATCAGTGTTTAGCAGAGAGCCCCCGATTCTGGTGAAAGGCGACAGCCAACAACAACAGCGGTGAATGCTTCCCAGCATGCTGCATACAGAGAGAATCCCGACAACAATCAGGTTTTTCCTCGCGCTGTCGGCTGAGCTCAGCAGGATTAGCAGAACTCAGCTGAGTTCAGTGTCTGGCATTCAGCACAGGGCAACAAACGGGTTATGTGTGACACCCGGACGACTTTGGGAATTTTCATCACAATTTGACAGGGTGGTCATTTGGTAATTCAGGACCACTGCACTGCAGCCCAGTAGCAGATGCCGGGGTTTGATTCTGAAGTTTTGAATTCTTCTAAATTAGTGAAGAAATGCTGTTTTTGTTAACATAAGACAAATACATTTCTGTAAAAAGAAAAAAAGAAAAAAACTATCATTCAGACAAAAATAGTAAGGAAGCAAGCGTTTATTATCCCAAAGCAAATGCATCGTCTCAAGCTCGACTAACGCTTCAGATGACTTTTTCTATTAATGGATGGACGCCCCCCTGAGTTGAACAGTTTCATGGACAGCCTAACGGTCCCCAACTGAGACTGAAGAAGCCCTTGATGTGTTTTTAAAACTGTTACTTACCATGACAGCAGCACATAAATCTCTCAGTCGAATCACTCAAATGAAACAACACTGTAGTGATCTGATGCGCAAAAGACCAATATGTTTTGTTGCACACTTTGGTGATAAACTACTTCATCCACAACCAAAATCTCTTCCTAGATTCCACAAAATCAGATGGTTTCATTAAGCATTCAGAATCAAGGATAAGTGACACAACTGGCCAAGCACTAACTTTGAGCTTACCTCAGACATATTCATTAAAATCAGGTCCACTCGCGGGAAATTTTAAGAAAATCACAGCTGATAGTGAAAAAGAGAGATCAGCTCCTGTTTCAGTTCCAAAGAAGAGTGTGTGCTCAGCCACAAACCTGAGCCCCACTTCACACCAAGACCCCAGTCAGACACCTCAGAACACACAGGGGAGGGGTTTCAGACACCTACCAGCTTTAAATGCCCGACGGTCTTTTCCTCTGACATCTTGAAAGTATCCGGAGATGAATTCAGAAGAAAACACAGGAGGATTGACAGGAAGGATACCAGAGGTGTGGGTGTGTGTATAGAACTCTCCTCTTCTCCCTTTTTTTACGCTTGCTCCAACAAGGCTCTCCGCGCAAAACGCCAGCCCGGTGCGTCCAAACAGACAGTCAGTCAGTCAGTGCGGAGAGCTGCGCCGCTCCGCTGGCGACAGCTCCCAGGCAAAGCTGAACACTCAACTTCGGGAAAAAAACGAGAGAGGGAGAAAAGAGCGAGAGGGACAGCGAGGGGAGGGAGGCAGACAATCACAGGAAAAGCAGCTCCTCCTACCCCCACGCTGTACGATCCAAAAACGCCGAGGCGAGCAAGACAGAAGGTCCAGAGCGCCGAACTGCACAGCTGAGCGCAAAGTGTGAGCGTTCCTGTTAACGAACTGTTTCAGCTGCACACTGCAGGCTTTTGGAAACAGTTTAAAAGGTGTATTTGCTTCTGACGGAGGGCAGCGAGGGTGTCAGACATTTAGGTCACACAAGATGAATTCACCTTCCTGTGGGGGCAGTTACAGATGGCAGCCGGTTATAAAGAGGAATGACTCAGTAGCCACATTTTTTATTTTTAGTTTCTAATTCTGGAAAATGATGCAACCCTTGGCAATAAAAGCAGGAATTAAATAGCCTACAACGTTCGGTTTTATCAATAAGTAAAACAGGGAGACAGTGCAATGCCTTGCCTCCAAAAAAAAAAGCCCAAAGGCAGCAATTAAAATATGCATGGATTTAAACTTGAGCAAAAAAGGCTTATCACAACAGTAACACTTTAATTTTCCGAATTAATTACCCCATCTCAAGTAAAGCCCGCTTATTGACAAGTTAGTTTTATATGACTGGAGGTTTTCAATCATTTCTTTTTTATAAGCAAGGCGTATAATACGATGACAGACGATTGCTTTAACACAGTCTTGATGAGGTGATGTAGGTTGCTCGTAAACGCAGGTGTATGTTTTGCTGCCTGGGTGTGTGTCTGTTTAACTGGGCACAGAGTTTAAGAGTTTTTCTACAACATTTTCCACCGGACTGCTCCATCAGGTTGCTGTTTGCCTGCCATGACCTGCACCTGTGTGACCTATCACAGCTCGTTATATCGTGTTGATTTTCATTCCCTTGTGCTCGTTGCACTGCGGTCACGAGCAGTTAGGCTACTTTCCAAAAATAACAGGGAGAAGACAAGTGTGCTAACAGAAAAAAAAAGATTGATTTCAATGGTTATTGCCAACATTTTCGGGTGCTGATTCTTAACTAGTACCACACCAAAAGTTAACTCAACATCTGTAAAACTGGTTAAGTTTAAATTATTTTTGTGTCCTAAGGTCAGTTGGATGTGACAGCACCTTGAATTGGGTTGACTCCAAAAGGTAATGAGTTAAGAGGTGCACATTGTGTGATTAAAGGGCTGTGTATTGGCAAGAATTTGGTGATGTGATACATATCATGACTCAGGGGTCATGATAAGATATAGCATTGCAATATATTGTGATACTGTGAGCAAGGCAATCTACTGCAATTTCTTGCCATTTTTCCTTTAAAAATTCTAATTTAATTTTATGTGATTTTTATGCTTTGTATTTTTTATTTCATTCATGTTTTTAATAGTTAAGTCTAATGTAAGGTCATAGGATCAGTTAGCACTTTGAGTATAAGTTGGAGGTGACTCTTAACCACCACCACAATAAATTTTAGCTCATTGTTTTTACAATTGGCAAAGACGTACTCATTTTTTGTGTTTGCTAAATGTACGGTACTTTATCCCTTTGGCCATCTTGAATCAGATTAACTTCAAATGTTATAGATGTGTTTCCAATACTCTTTGAGAGTTTAAAACATGTGCAGTGATTCATGGGGAATTTTGCTAACAGAAAGACAAACACAGGCACAAACAAAAGCATTATTCGCTGCTTTTCAGCCTTTGGCATAAGGAAATGAATATTAACAGCTGAACTGAGCTGAACAAATTGCTTAATAGTTGAAGTCACTGTATTTACTAAGTGAGGTCAAAGAGTAAGAATCCTGCACCTACAGCACAGTGAGGAGGTTGTGGGTAAATAGTATCAGGCAAGGTGTGGTCTGACATGCAGGTGTGTTCTCCAACTGTAAACAGGACGGGGCCAGACAGTGTCTCAGTACATGTCTGCAACTCACCTATATTTAACCTACCTGTCCATGTTTGCTATAGCTGCAAATACATATCTGAGGTTATTTCCTGTCTTGATAAATGTTTGTAGCCACCTTTCATGCCAGATGTCCTCTGCGTATTGTTTCTGCTGTGGGTTGAGTGTATCAGGTCATCTCTCTGTTTGCTTTGCTTTTCTCACAATGACACGAGGACGGTTGTGTTACCGGACAAACAGGTCGGAGAGAATTCAAGTCTGATAAAAGGATAACAAAAGTCATAAGCTGTTTGTCAACTCAAAAAACAAAGGAAAAAAATCTGCACACTGACATCATAAGATTTATTATCCAAGGGCATTAAAGGCTTTGCATTTTGTCATATATTGCCTTTCATGTCAGAGTTTTAAAGATTGTGCATGTGCGATCTATTTGCACTTAAAGAACATGATGAGGATGACTCTGGGTGCCTTTTTGACTCTAAAAGTCAAAGTCTAAAGGCGCCCACATTCTCGGGCGTACTTCGGCCCACGGAGGTCCACACGGACTCGAGGCAGACTCGAAGTGGATATCCACCGGAATGGTCCGCGCAGATATCAATTTTTTACGTCCGCATCCGTGGTGTCGCACAATAAACTGCATGATGAGTACTAGCGATGTCCCGATCAGATACTCAGTATTGGTATCGGTGACAGATATGGCCATTTTTTGAAAATGGGGTAGAATCGGATTTAGTCATGTGATCGGGCCGATCCAGTTTTCGTGACAGTTTTCAGCATCATCATGCTTTACAACTGCCGTTAAGAAGTCAAGACGCGCACAATTGTGCAACCATGTCCGTAGTGTGGGAACACTTTTCAATGGAAAACAATGATGCTGAAACTGCATCTTGCAAAATCTGCAAACTGGATGTTTCTTGTGGTGGGAACAGCAGGGCTCGCTATAATACTACCAACCTTGTCACTTGGAAAGAAAGAAATAAAGTTATCAGTATCGGATCGGTATCGGAAAGACTAATCATTAGAAAATCGGATTGTATCGGGAGCCAAAAAATCTGGATCGGGACATCCCCAATGAGTACTGTTTTGGATGTGACACCAAGCTGATAAAGTTGAGAATCTGTGTCATTTGTGGATGAAATAGAGTCAAATTTTGAAGAGCGGCTCATGGCGGAGATTAGAAAACTTTATGATGCGTCAGTGAAGGAATATAAGGATTTTCAGCGAGCAACAAATACGTGGGAGGAAATAGCTCAGATCCTGGGTAAGGTAGTTCTTTTCTTTTTTCTTTTGTTGTTTTAAAGCTAAAATGCAAACTGTCTCTTCCTCCTCATCCTTGACATCATGACTGAAATTACAAAAAATTAAAGAATTTGTCAGGTGGTCAGTACGCTCGAGTGTGAAGTGTCAAACATCCGTAGACAATATGCGTGGAGTCTGCGCGGCTCATGGAATGTGCACACAGTACGCCCGAGTATGTGGGAGCCTTAACTAGTTGAGGATGTACACCCAATGATTATTTTCAGTGAATTTCACTAAAATCTGTTCAGTGGTTAGAAAAAACTTTTGCTAAAAACCAGCGTTGATGTAAGCAAGATGTGTCGATTAAGGAAAGATGTGCAAAGTATGTGTTAGGAACGACTTTCAGGTACAACCATACTGAAAATGAAATCAATATATACAGTATAATGGACTGAGTTGGTATTATTTTTTTTTACTAATGTCAGTTAAATACAGATTGCTAATGTCAGTTAGCCACAGATTGCTAATGTCAATTAGCTACAGATTGCTAATGTCAGTTATCTGCAGCAAAAACCTTGGATTGCACTGACTCCAAAAGTTAACCGGTTGTACAGTGATTACTTTGTGAGAGTTTCAACAAACTCTATTGAGTGGTTTATGAAATTTTTTTCTTACAGAGAGACAAAGCTGATGTTATGATTGCTCAGCTGTGGTGGCCATCTTGAAATGTGGTTGACTCCTTAAGTGAGTCAGTTGCAAACTGAACTGAATTTATCCGTAACATCTGTCAGGTATGAGATATTTCACTAGTGTTACAGCCAAACAAACACACAAGCACTGGAAATCATTATTGCCTTCAGGGGATAATAAACATAGCTTACCATTAATTATTTAGAAACAATAAAAACACTATTTTTATTAATATTATTCTGTCCTGTCCTGGTTTTGACTCTCTGCACATGTAAAGGTAAACATCTAAACACAAGCATTCCTCCTTGAGTACATAGTTAGAGTAAGTTACTAGTGAATATCAGTGTAATTCCCAGATGAGGTATTTGGGGTTTTAATGGGGCTTTTACCCTTTGAGCCTGACAGGATGGCTGGCTGATTGAGTGTGCAGGCAGATTAAGCCCGGGTTCAGCCTGAGGCTCCCACCAGCTCTGACTTCACTCTCTGACCACACGGACAACTGAATTTTCTCAGCCTGGCAGTCAGCTACGCAGCATCCAGCACTCTAAACGAACTCAGCGTTTTGCAGGTTTGGCGAGCAGTAATGTGTGTTTACTCATTGTGTGTGCAAAGCAGTTCTTTTCTCCACCGCAGTGATTGGTCAGAGGATAGCTATTGGCAGTTTGTTTGAAGCCAATTTCTATTCTCCCACGCTGGGCCGCTGAGACTCCTTTGCAATTATGCTGTCACTCCCACGTAATTACAATAACCATATCAACAAACATAAAGCTGATAACAATCAGATACAGTAAAAAAAAAGGTTTTCTATTCTAGCAATAGTTCAGTTCTTTTGAAGCCAGTTAGTTAATTTCAATAACTTACCTGTTTGAAGAAATAAAGATTTGTTTAGATGGGATTGTAAGGGATCGCTGCTGCCCTAAAACAACTTTATTTTCAAAACTTCCAAAAATCTGAAGAACCTCTTTAGGATTTGGATTTTTTTTGATTCACCAACGGATTGCTTATTGACACGAGTAACTGTTACACATACACAAAAACAAAATGAAACTTTCAGGAAATAATCATTGGGTTAACTGCTACAGCTGATTACCTTTTGGAGTCAGCCTTTTTTTCTTTAAGAAGGCCACTACAGCCACCTGAAATTAGAAAACACAAAAATGGCTCTAATTCAGCCAGTTTTACAGATTTTGTGTTCAGATTTGTCGTGATAGCAGTTGGAAGTCATTTAGAACACAGACTCTAAATACAGATAATTGTGGCATTCGCTGGTGGAGTCCAACCATTTTGTCTGTTAGCAAAATATGCCATGAGCCACTGTATGGATTTTGATGAAGATTTCAGAAAGTAATCAGTGTCGATTATTTTATTTTTAACAAATATTGATCTCTAAGATTTTATGTGGTAGTTGCAGAGATTCATTCACAACACATACT